CCCATCCAATCCGCCACCTCCCACCAATCCTCACAGGCAGCGCACCGCACCGCCGGCGCTCCACCCGATGTTTCAAATTGCCCGACGCAATCGTCGAGAAGGGAAATGGAGCTTATCTGCCAACGACGCCCGACTGTGGTACGACGAATTACCGACATCCCCGCTTTGGGCCAGTTATATGAGGAAAGCAAACGAGGTCGCTCGAGAGATGTGGGCGCCGTCAACGTGGGAGCAGAGAATGTCCCTAACGGGGCAATTCACAACCTTTTGCCGCACGCACGAACAGCCGATGAACGAGGAGAGCTGCGCGGCCTTTTTGATGTCAATCGAAGTGGCGCCATCCACCCGACAGCAGCACGCCAGGTTGCTGCGGTCCATAGTGGAAATAAATTCAACCCCGCTGGACATGGTGATTCTGGGGTTACAAAAAATTGCGGCGCGATCGGAGACGAAGCAAACGCGCCCTTTGACAAAGGAAGAGATGAATCAAGTAATCCGCAGCCGAGCCGATTGGAAGGAACGTGTTGTTTTTCGAATTGTGTGGATAACGACAAGTCGTTTGTTTGAGATTGCGGCCTTGACCCCCAACAATTTCACACTGGAGGCGGACGGAACCTTAATTTTGGATTGGTCCGTGGCGCCGAAAGACGGCGAGGGCGGATCCCCACCGCGCCTCGCGGTTCGTGAGTATGCGAGGGCAGGACGCCTTTGACATTATAAAGTTATGCAGGACACTTCAAGAAAACGAAAAGCTCACGAATCTGACGACTGCTCAAGTCGAACGAGCTCTGGCCTCTTGGTATGCCACGGCGCATTCCATAAAACGGGGTGCGTTGCGGCACGCTGCTCACATCGTGGAGGCGTACAATTTTAACCCACACGTGATCTCGCAGTTGGCGAAGCACGTCGACCCGTTCGACCTTCCCCAGAATACTGTTCGATATTTGGGGAGATACACCACAATGCTGACCCAGGTGTCGTCGCTGGTCGCATTGATGTGAAGGGAAAACTGCGGAAGGTCAGGAACCCTGGTTGAGAGCGGAGGAGCGTTTTTTCCATGATTTTTATCACAACCATGCCGCCACAATAACGCGACGCGCGAAAAGGACGCGTCTGGCCACTCCACAAGATGAACACGCTATCCCGTTACAGCAGGTCAACGTGCCCGTATTGAACCTAGAGTGGATTAAAAGTCGGTTGAACCCGGCTACATTGGAGAGGCTCATGCAAGTTTGGGGACTCGTCGGGCGGTCCCCTTTCCCTCCGTCTTCCTCCGGTAAAGCGCGCGAAGGCTCACGGAGGATTCCAACCGCTGACGCGAGATTGTTGAAGGAAGCGGGAATTATCGAGGACGGTTCGTCCACAATAACAGGCGGATGGATAATACCTTTTTCGGTTGTGGAGGAGAAAACCACCGGTTTACGACGACGATGGATCGCGTGGCCATGCGACAAGAACGGAGACGACCCTTATGAGGCGAATGCACCTCTTTTACACATTTCCCATTATTTGCCGCCTGTGATGGCTGAGGCCGCTTCCTGCGTGGAATTAAAGGCATCCCTTTTTTTAATTCTCTTTACCGCGGGAGACTCGGCATCTCTTTCGATGCCGTGTGGAGGACGGCACGCTGGAGGAGCTGGCACGGCTCCCAATGGGATACAAGGCCGGCCCAGAAATTCTCCAGATTACTATTAATTCGGCGATTGCGGGGATGACGACGCTGGCTCACCGCCTCTGGGCTGCACCTTCATTGGTGCGTATCGACGTATGGATCGGTAATATACGCATTGCAGGGTCGATAGGCGATGTGACACGGTGGGAGGCCCAAGTGCTTCGTAATGCGGACAGCCGTCACGCTTCTTTGCGGGAAGAACGCGAACCGGGCGCTACGCAGTACACCTTTCTGGGGGTGCAGTTTGGTCATGTTCACCAGACGGTGTCACGGAGTGACAAGTTTGTCCGCTCTGTACGCGCCATGCCGGCGCCCAATTCTTCAACCATCGCGGAAATGGAGGTTATGGCGTCACGCTTTTTGTACGCGGCGGCCATTTTGGGCAGGCGCCTGTGTGCCTACTACTTTCTCATCACGGCAGTGCGACGACGATTGTCCGCACTTAACCGGGGAATTGTGCTGGAGACATCCCCGGCGAACCTACCGCCGTCAGCGGTTGGCTTGGGCGAGAGACTGCGACACATCATCGGGAATAATCGTAAGCGAATCATCAAGCTCACAGAAAGGGCATCGGCTGCCATAATCACGGACGCATCGCTCCATGGATGGGGAGCCGTTTTTATTCCAGACTCCGGCGACGTTAAAATTGCCGGAGGGAAATGGGAGAAGAAACCTTTTCTTATCATGCAGGCCGAGGCACGAGCGGTACGCCTTGCCGTGTCGGTCATTTCCGCCATCTTGCCACCCACCATGGACGTTTGGGCGGACAACACTTTGCTGCAAGGAGCGGCGAATAAAGGCAGCTCGAAATAGCACGCCATGACGTGTGAGCTGCAACGGATACAAGGGCTTTTGGACTCTCGCGGAGCACAGAAAACCTTTGCCTACGTACGGTCTGCGGAAAACTCGCAGATGGCGTGTCACGCGGTCGCGTGTTCACACACGAGGACTTGGCGAAGGAGTGGAACTTGCGAAGGGGAGCGGCAGGGTCTTGTGGTTGGAGGACCCCAAAGTCTGCCACCTCGTAAGTAATAATACGTAAATCCTAACTGAGGACAAAGGACCATGCTGGTGGTCCACAGAATTCTATATATTGAATGAAAATAAAACATTGAAGCAATTAACTAACGAACCTTTTTTCCTAACTTGTTTGGTTTCCATAGATATAGCTTCAGGATCCGGCCAGCTGCCCGGAAGATTATTCAGTCAAAGGTGCTAGAGGTTATGTGAGTTGTTTGTAGCCCAAAGGGGGCTGCAGGACAGATTAAGCCTGTTCCAGCAGTGGGGATTCTTCGGGAGGGCTACATCTCTCTTGCACTTGAGGCTGTCAGGAGCACGAATGCAGTGATCGGCTCAATACTCGCCAATCCGATCTCATTGATTTTTTGGCGAGCTCTTTGCGTCGTCCCCGCTCACATTTGAGGAAAACAAGGTGAAGACTTCTGAGGCATTCCCGGATTTTTTTTTTCTTTTTTGCTCCAGGGGCGTTTTCCAATGTACGCCCCAAAAGCTACTGTATGGGTGGATGAGGCGGCGCTCCCAACTTTTTTCTGCGGGAATTCACATCCGAACTATTCTTACGGGGTCTGTACCTTTGTGGCAAGAATGCTCTACATTGCATTGTCTAATCTTGCTTACTTCGAGCACGAGGAATGTGTGACCGGATGGGGCCGAACCGATGATAACGCGTCTCGGATGCATTCCTTGGCTTTTTATTGAAAGCCTGATGTTTGTTGTTAACGGTATCGCGTTGGAGGGTGGCAAGTGCAGCTTTTGTTTCATCTGTTGTCCCAGTCACCTCGGTGACTCTTCACGCGGAAATGAGTCCGGCAGCTGCGGGGGCGCTTGTAATGACTGCCACTTCGTGAGCTCACAACGAGCCTGGCTGTCATGGATGAACTTGGGAACCGTTTGGTTTACTGGTGTGCGTGTATGTGTTTGTGTGCGTTGGGTGAATTTCCTTTGAATTATGGGGGATGTTGGGTACAGTGAACCAAGCTGTCGCCTCCCACTGTGCTTTGCCCTTTCTTCTTTCTGGGGGCATGTGACGAGGCCTCACCCAGGCACAATATTTGACTTTGTTTATTTCTATCGCGAGGTATTTTCTTTTTTTTTTCGTTTTTTTTTCTTTTTTGTACGGCGTTGTAGATGGGGGGAATCCAGTCCGTTGGTGGAGCGGCCACGAGCGGTCACGGCTTCACTGGGAAGCAAGTCTCTGGGGCGCTGGCCGCTGCTGCTGACGCTCAACGGAAGAGCCATCGTGAGCGTTTAAAGGCAGAAGAAGATTTACCCCGTGCAGTGCGGCGCACCGTGAGCGGTGTCATCCAGACGCTGGACGAAATTGGAAGGGAGAAGTACCAGGAGAAACGTGTGCTGCAGTTTCAAGTACCCGATAGTGAAGGGAATATGGGGACTGTGACTGTGCATGAGTATGCTCCAGAAGTTTTTCGTTTCTTAAGGCAGTTGGATGGTCTGGGTGAGGATATGTTTGCTGATGAGTGGACGTTGCCTGAAGATCGGCTTGCCCTGGAGCTTGGTGAGGGACGCTCCATGGCGCTTTTTCTTAAGTCCAAATCGATGGATCTTATGTGTAAAACAATAGCGGAGGAGGAGGTGAATGTTTTGCTGAAATTGCTGCCGCAGTACACGGAACACCTCTCACGGAACACCAACACATTGCTGATGCGGTTTTCTATGCTTCTTAGGATTGAGGCTGGCGCCGAAGTGGGTTTTATTCTTTGCTTTGGGGACGTCTTTGCGCCGTGTCGCACATTGAACGAGAAATGGGACCTGAAGGGCCGTATACCCAAACCCGGCAAATATCAACATTTCCCAAAGCTCATCCAACGCCCGTACGAGCCCAACCCGTATCTCATTGAGACCCCGCGTGACACCATTGAGCTTCCCGAGCTGGTTGGGTCGCAGGAGGAACGTGTGGTGGTTGTTGAGGCGGCCGACAAGGACAAATTGGCAACTCGGAAAGACAAGGACCTTACGCGTCTTTTCTGGCTGGAGCGGCACGAGCGGAATAAGCTGATTCGGGTCCTTATGAAGGATTACGAATTTTTAGGCAACGCGGGAATGATGGATTACTCTCTTCTCATTGGTGTGGCGTACAACGAGACAAAAGTGTCGCGCAGCGGCAAACTTGTACGTAGTATGCGTATGACGTATCCAATGGGTAGTGAGCGTGACGCGGATCTTGCGGAGGTACGTCCCGCCTCCTTACCGCGGCGCTGTCCCACACCTCATGATTTTAGAGCAGGCATTACTAGTTTACAAGACCAGGAAATTTATTACATTGGGATAATAGATATGTTGACAAAATACACATGGAAGAAGAAGACGGCTAATTTTTTTAAGAAATTCTTGTGGAAGCCCGAGACACTTTCAACCATTCCACCCGTAGAATACAGAAAGCGCATTTCAAAGTACACCAAAATTATATTCCCGGATGTTAATGCGACAGATAACACCACTAAGCCGAGTTGCTGAGGTGGTGGTGGTGGTGGTGGCGTACTGCGGGAGAAATGCAATGTACGTGAGGTGGGATTCCAATTGTATATATATATTTATTTATGTGTGTACAATTGGAATCATGCTTCGGGTGGTGAGTTTGTTGAGCTGCGTTAATATCTATCAATTTTTGTGCACATTGACCGTGTTTCTGTGAGTGTGTAAAGAAAAAAAACAAAAAAAAATGTTTGCGAGAATGTGGGCCAACTTAATGAATATATCTTCTTATAAGACGAATATATTTCATGACGATTTTTTTTTTTTCTTCTATCTTATGTTTTTTTTCTTTTTTTTTTTTTTTTGGAAGGCTGCGATGGAAGCAATCAAAGTGCCAATAACATCAGGGCGTATTTTTTATTGGCTTTTGCCGTCCTACCCACTCCCATTTGATCTCCAACCTTTTGGGGGCGATGTCTTGTGACTGGAAGACTCGAAGCACTAAATGGTTTCAGTTTGAATAGAAATGCAGTTTGCCACCACCGTGGATGCCTGAATATCACATACATATATATATGTATTTATATATTTAGAATAAACATTGAGGAAATGGGGAAGTCACCGCCTTTCCATTGCCCTTTTTCTTCCCTGCTTTATTTGTATTTTTATACCTGTATATATTTGGGAGTTTTTTTTTTTTTAAATATTTCTCTTGAATTTCTTTTTTATTTTTTATTTTCTTTTCTCGTGGAAGGAGGATAAGTAGCGCACACGATTTCTTTGATGTCGCAGAATATTCTGCTGGACTCCAACATCCGCGACTGGGTGCTTTTCCCCCTCATCGCCATCGTCATTTTTGTTGGAATGTTGCGCCACTACGCCGGCCTGCTGATGAAGTCACACCCGAAGCCCAAGATGGAAAAAATGTGCTGCGTTAATATAGCGAACTACGGCAAGTTGCTTCTGGTGGAGGGGAAAAAACTTTCACCGGAAGCATTTAGCCGGCGCGCAGAAGCGATGCGACAAGGTCCACTGCAGAAGAAGGTTGAGGTGGACCCCATTGAGATGATGAACGATCCCTCCATGATGGGAGAAATGATGAAAAACAATATTCTCATGATGGTGCCAAACATGGGCATGATGATGCTGGTCTCTTACTTCTTTTCCGGCTTTGTTGTGGCCAAATTTCCATTTGGACTTGCTTCACGGTTTCGTGGCATGATGCAAAGCGGAGTAGACATTAGCGATCTTGATTGCAATTACGTCACTTCACTCAGCATGTACTTTCTGATCATGTTTGGCTCTAACGGCCTTCTTCAATTGTTGCTTGGCGCGGATGCTGGCGGCAGCGACCAGGCGATGCTGATGTCACAAATGAATGGTGGCGGCCCACAGCAACCGGTGGACTACGGGAAGGTGTTCAAGTCCCTTGCGGAGGAGCTGGAGTTTGCGCAGGGCGGACATAAGTGGATGTACGAGAACGCTCCCGAGATGCTTTTGAAAGGAAAATAACCGGACGGCGGGCGGGGGTATTACAACCCGCAGCAGCGTTTACTTTCCCTTCCTTTTTCCTTTTTTTCTTTGCTTCTGTTGGCATTTGTGGCTTGCGGAGCGCGAGAGGGAGTGGGAGGGGCAAAGGCGCAACGGGACACTTTTGGAAGGGATACGGAGGAGAAAAAAAACAAAAACCAAAAACGAAAAAAAAAGAAAAGAGAAAACAATAGCAGTCCGAAAGAGAAGGAAGGAAACGGAAAAGGAAAAAAAAAGGGGGGAAAAAAAAACATGCATTGGTGGCATCCCCTAATGCTCCCCAAGATAATAAATAAGGAAAGAAAATGAATTGAATTTTGTGTTTATTATTTCCTTTTTTCCCTCTCCTTTTTGAAAGAAAGAATTTTTTTTTCTTTTTTTTTTTGGTTTTTGAGTGGAAATTGCTTGGCAGCTCAATTTTTTATTTTATTATTTTATTTATTTATTTATTTATTTTTTTATTTAGCGAAGAAGAAATTTTCTGTATTTGTTTCTTTACCTTTTTGCCTGCAGGCTGCAGTATTTGGGTAGTTTTGTCTGTTTCACTTTGTTGGGATGGCGCAACAAATGCGACCGGGGGGTAAAAGCTGTCACACCGTCTCTTCCCACTTCCACGAGGGCGAGTTGGCTCGGATGAAGCACACACACGAGCTGGTGCGGTGTGATGCTGGGCCTCGTCGCACCACAGTTCCGAGCACCGTTGGCGGCACCAGTGAACTCCCGTTGTCGAGGCGAATCAATCTTCCATTATATCTGCGACCGCGCAATAATCTTGAAACTCTCTCTCGTTTCAGGGCAGGCCCCGTGAATGATTGGAAGAATTCTCTCCGACGCGAAACGGTGGCACTTCCGGTTTTGCACCACCGCTTTATTCGGGAACAAAACAACGCAAGCAACATAAATCGTGTGAAATTTGCCGTTTCTGCATATGAGGACGGTTCCAGTGGGAAGAAAAATATCGATTTGGACGTGGCCGAGCCCACGGTGTACCAAGAGGGTCATGAGGAACCCGGGTGGGCAGGGAAAGGAGAACAATCATTGGAAGATCATGTAGGAATTGATGAACAACGTGCATTAAAAACATTGGAGCGCTTGTTTATTCCTCAGTGGCGTTTACATATGCAATTAAAACGACGCTGCAAGGCACCGGCAAAGATCTATTACAGCGGTGTCAACCCTCCGTCAATTCGGCGAACTTCCGTGCGAGATGTGGCTGTCGATGTGATTCTTTCATTTCTGCGGGCCGGATGGTGGCGGCCATTGGTAGAGTTTCGTCGCCTGAAGGATAAAGTATTGAGGATTCAGCGTTTATTTCGACGCCACACGCTCTGCATGGATGCTCGTGTGGAGCTGAATTACCGCAAGGTGCGTACTGAGTTTGAGCAAAGTTACTGGAAAAAAGTAGAGGAGGCGCATAGGCAGGAGATGGGAGAAGAGTTATTTACAGACAGTGACAGCAACGGAGGTGAAATGGACATAGCGGACTTTCGTTTAGTTGGCCCCCTCCCAGAAGTGTTTCTTCGACGCGAACTGCGCTCTGCTCTTTACTGCCACGCACATCGATGCTTGCAAGAGCCCACAGCATCGAGGGGGCGGTTTTTTTTGCCGAATTGGACGTACTACGCTGTTCTTGACAATGTGTGCTACATCACAAGTGTGGTGCGTGACAGCAATATGCTACGGTCTCACCTCTCCAGCCGTCGAAAGAAGATTATCTCATACTGAATAAACTTGACTGACGCACCGAATGAGAGGTAGTGAAGGAAATAGAAATACACACACACACACAGACAACATCTTTATTTTGACGTTGCTTGCGGATAAGAAAAAAAAAAAAAAGGAAGTATATATATATATATATGTTTAATATGCTTATTCATTATTCAATGAGAGTTGAGACCCGCTTTAGGGTGAGTGGAGCACCCGCGAATGACACCTTTGCTTTATTATTACTATTATGGACTTGCCAAATAAAAGAGTTGGATGATTATGAGGATTATGAGATGGAAGAAAACAATACTGCATGGTTTATACAATAGAAAGTAGAATTGTATGCGGCGCACGTGATGTATTATGTGAATTCTATTTTATTAAGTGGCTTTTGTTGTTGAATTTTGTGTCTTTTGTATGAACAGCACGCAGGAGCTTTTTGTGGTTTTTTTTTTTTTCTTCCTTCTATTTTTCCTTCTTTGGGTGAGTCTTTAGAGACATTCTAGGCAATTACGCTTTTCTTTTTTTCTTTCTTTTTTTTTTTAACGTTTGCCACGGCACCATTTTGATTTCATTATCATCATTAACCACCTTATGTTATTTTCCCTGCTGTTCATTGTGATATTTATTTATTTATTTATTTTATTTTTTTTTTTGTGTGTTTTCTGCTTTTCATATTTTGTTTTATTTTATTTTTCAGATTTTGAGCGTTTCTATCCAATTATTGAAATTTGTGACCACACACACCTGCTTCTGTATGTGTCTCTCTATGTGTCTCTCTGTATGTGTCTCTCTGTATGTGTCTCTCTGTATGTGTGTTTGTGTGTACTCGCTCCAGTGCGGGCAGGACAATGACGCGTGCTTGCGTTGTGTGAAGACAATAAACGTCCGCGCGGACCGTCTTTCCTATCCATTTTTGTTTTTTAAATTACTGTGTACATGCATGCTTATGTATCTATATACTTATATATACATATATTATATTTGCATACGTGCGTGTGTGTGCATTATCTTTTTTTCTTCTTCTCTTTTTTTCTTTTTTTTTGCTGCTGTGGGCGGCGGTAGGGAAGCAACAGACACGTGATATTGGGAGTTAACTGCAGTAAAGAGAAAGAGAAGAGGGACGGCTCGTCATGCACCTGCAAGTGTACATCGTGAATGGCAAGCGGCAATATACGCTGAAGAAGATGGATCCAGAGGGCAAACCGACGCTCAGCGCCCATCCCGCTCGCTTTAGCCCTGACGACAAATACAGTCGGCACCGCATCACTATCAAACGCCGCTTCAGGGCACTTAAATCGGAGAAGCGCCCCAAGCCGCTGTAGCGCCTCGTCATTAACGACCACGGGGCACGTATTTATTTTATTTTATTTTATTTTTCCCTTACATAAAAGCACGCAATCTATCTTTTTTTTTTTTTTTTCTTGTAGGGAATCATACTGCAGCTAATTAGAGAAAAGTCTTCACAATTTTATTTTATTTTTATTTTTTTTCTGGGTACTGTGTGCCGTTTTCACTTTACCCTGTTGAATTCTCTCTTTTTTTTTTTTTTGTTTGAGGTAAAAGCAGGAAAAGGGCATGAGATATCCCCCGCGCAGTGGTATTGGTAGGATGTCATATTTTTCTTTTCCCTTTTTGCGGTGCACGCGGCGCGTGCACATTTTTGTTATTGCATTGGTTTGTGTGTTTTTTATTGCTAATGCCACCGTTTTCGTTTTTCGCCCACAGGGGCAATCTTTTTGGGGAGCCCCTGCTGCTGCGGACAGCGCATCGATACGGCTGGACGTGCCGATTTCTTCGGTGCAGCTGCTGGCCGACGTGCTGGCTCGGTTTCCAAATGCAAGGATGGTTTTTGAACGCATCTACAGTATCCGCACTGATTCTGCGCGTCTCTTGATTCCTCCAGAGTTTCACGCGAGAGCGGAGAGCATGTTTTCTGGCTACAGGGGAACACGCGAAGATCTGCTGCGGGATCTCGAAAATCAGAGTGTGGTGGAGGTTTTTAATCGTGTTACCGGTGAAATGGCGCTTTTTAACGATATCCGCAGATTTAGGCCCGGCGGCGGCAGCAGCACTGGCAGTTGTGCGGAGGAAAGGCGCGTAGTGGCCAAGCTTTACACAGAGGGCAGTGGGGCCGAGCTGTGCGACTTCTGCAACGAGCGACGCACAGCCCGCGATGTATTTGGCCGAATAGACGGCAAATATTCATACACCGCGGCGAATGTCGCCAAGCTTAGTAAGTGGCACAGTCTTATAATCACAAAGTTGCATGACCCTTTGTCCGTGGGCGAGGATGTCATTGCGGACATCATTGATGTCTCTCACAGATGGTTCAAAAGGGCCCATCGCGAGGATCCTCTTTATATGTACCCGAATATTATTTGTGATGCCGGCAAAAGAGCGTCTGCTTCCCAAGTTCACTTTCATCTGCAGATGGCTTTAACGAGAGACCATTATTTCTCCGGTACTGAGCAGCTTCGGCGTGCGGCAGCGCAATACTCGGTGCGCCATGGGACTAGTTACTGGGGAGATGTTATCCGTTTACATGAAATGATTGGTCTTTCTGTTACCGTTGGGGACAGTGTTGTGTTTTCCAACGTGTGCCCTCGAAAAGAGAGGGAAATAATTGTTCTAAGCAGAAATCCTGAGGATATCTCGTTTGCCCGCGCTGTTGCCCTTGCATTGATGACACTTCGCGATGCCGCTGGTGTGCAAAGCTTTAGCTTTGCCATTTCTTATCCGCCTCTGAATGCGGCGAATAATTACAGTCTAGGGGAAGTACCGGCGATTTTCCGTGTGATTGACCGTGGTAGTGCCTTGGACCCGCGCAGTGACACAGGGGCATTGGAATACTTTGGGAGCCCATATATTGCAGCGGACCCCTATGCTATCCTTCCCAATTTGATTGCAGCGAATAAACGTTTTACGTTGCATGAGTAGCTGGGAAGTACTCCATAAGAAACAAATGCTTTTTTTTTTTGCTGTTTAGACCCCGTGTGGCACTCTGTCTTTGTTTGTGTGTGTGTTTGTCTGTTTGTACTAATTACTTTTCATTTTTTTTTTTTTTGAGCGCTTTTTTGTGAATGCAAATCTTTTTTTCTGTATTTTCTTCTTTTATTTTTTAGGAATTTTTTTTTCCATCTGCCGTGCGGCTCGCCATTTGTCTCTCCCTCTGTGTGTTTTATTCATGTCAGAGTTTGGCGCGTGTTTCAGGCCCTCACCGCCGCTTTTTGCCGGTGCGCTCCGGCGCTCGACGACGCGCTGGCACAGGCTCAACAAGGTGCTGTACGATCGCCAGCCGCAGTGGAACCCCTTGCAGAGACTTCAGTTGCCTTTGCGGAAAACGGTGGGAGACGTGCCGACACTCGACGGCACTTTAGACATCTTCGGCTACCAGCTTTTCCGCGATGGATTGCTGTCGCCACTCTCCCCGCCCCGCACTTACCAGCAGCCGGGACAACAACAGGACTTTACAGGCTTCCTACCAGATGCCCGAAAGGCACAAAAAGAGCGTACACGGTTGGAGGCCCGAATGCGTAAACACGGCGTGGTGCTTCGCCGGAGCATCAAGGAGACGTACCTCACAATTGGCTGCGACGAGGCTGGTAGAGGGCCGCTGGCAGGTCCGGTTGTGGGCGCAGCCGTCTGCCGCATCCCACTCTCTAGCTTCAATAACGAGCTGTGCGCTGTGTATGACACGAGGGAGGAGTTTCAAATCTTTGACAGTAAGTCCTTGTCCGAAGGGCAACGCAACGTAGTCTTCCAGAACATCACAGGGTACGAGAAGCTGTTTCATTTAGTCGCGGACAAGGCGTTTGTGGTGCATCACGCAAGTGGTGACGCCGCTCCGGACAACGTTTTGACAAAACGGTTCCCATCCCACATGAAACTTCAAAAGTTGCCATTTAAAAAACTCCTGTCGATGCAAACGCCTTATTTGATTTCGTACCATGGCCAAAACGTCTGTGGGAATTATTTGTACTTGTGGGGTATTGGCATAGCGAATCACGCGTACATTGATATGACCAACATTTATGTCTCCTCAATGCGTACAATGCACCGCTCCTGTTTTTCCATTTGGCGCATGCTGAATGACGCACGCTTTTCTCTTGAGAGGGCGCCTCGGCCCAAGCATTGCTCCATCGCTCAGTATCTCTTTTCGCGCTACTGCATCGCCGCACCCCATGACGATAAGAAACGTTATGTGGTGCCGTCACACGTTGAGCTTGTGAGTGGGGCGTCAGAATTTTTTGACACGGAGCCGGTACAGCCACCTTTGATTTTGGTGGACGGTCACGCCGCCCCGGAGGAGACAATAAGTTTTTTCACGGAAATACAAACAGGCGGTTGCGTCCAGCCCATCATTGAAGGGGATAAGAGGAGTTTGACAATTGCGGCAGCTTCATGTCTTGCAAAAGTGGCGCGCGATGAGATCATGAATTACGTGAGTACGTTGTATCCGAAATATCAGTTTGCGGAGAACAAGGGGTACCCTGTGGAATATCACATGCGTGCCGTACAGCGGTATGGCGTCTCTTCCATTCACCGTAAATCTTACAAGCCATGTGCTACTGCCATCACAAAGCAACTGAAGCGCAAGGCGAAGGAATCCCAGACATGTAGCTGAAGGGGTCGAAAACGGATAGATAGAAAACTAGAAAGAAAGAGAGCGAGAGGGGGGGAGAGAGAGAGAGAGAGAGAGGACGAGAGAGCGGAGGGGAATCCCCTCAATAATGCACTGTAAAAAAGCTTTTTCTCTTGTTTTTTTTGTGGAGAGGGACGGCTGCCCTAATACTCCCCTTTTTTAAATGCTTCCTGAATATTTCTTTGCTTTCATGGTTCCCGTGTGTCCCCTTTTCCCCAAAGTTTAGGTAGACGCCAGGGAAAAAGAATAATATTGACGCGGATTATTTTCTTTTATTTTCATATATTTTTTTGTATATAATATATATATGTGTATTTTTGCGCGTCATGCCTACAGATGCGGCGTGGCCAGAGATGGAGGACGATTGGATTTTATCCCTTCCGGGTAGTGAGTCTGTTGCGATCCTAACGAGGTGTTTAGACCGCACTGAGGAATCAATACAGAGACTGCGCCTGCGCCAAGGTGAAGAGATGTCAAGTTTTCAAAACACTTTGGATGCATTAAACGGCGAGGAGACACGCATTTGGAGCCAATTTCATGTCTTGGAAATGCGGTGGGAGGAGCTGACTGCACTTCTTTGGCTCCCACCGGGGTCTCTGAATGCTGAATCTTTATGGGACGAGATGCATCAGTTATCTTTGACTGAGGTGGGGCTTCAGGTTGTGGAGGCTCAGACGGAGGAGAATATTCATTCCCTGCGTGCGCGGATGGCTCATCAATGCCATGGAACTAACCCGGATGGCATTCTTTTGTTCAATGAAAGGCTTGTATTCTCTCGGTATCACATGTCGCGAGCGATGGCTCCCACTTGCCTTTGTCACTGTGCGGGGTACGAGGGACACCCTGCCGTCTTGGCCAACACTTTTATGAACTTGGATCCTCTCCTCGACGTTGATGTTGCGGGTGACACAGCTCCTTTAGAGGCTGGAACGGAAGGGCCGCACGTTTCTTCGTTGCAGTTAAAAGAATTTTTGGAGGCCATTACCAGCCCCACAGACGAATTTTATGGAGTGCGTGATACACTGGGCCGCTTTGCGTCTGTGTCTCCACCTTTGGTGCTTCAAAGGGATGAGGATGGGAATACTCCTCTTCACATTGTGTGCCGCCTATTTAATCCATCGCTGGTTGTAATGCGGGAGTTGCTGCAAGCGGGTGCCGACGTCAACGTCAAAAATTCGGCTGGCCTCACCCCTTTTCACATGGCTTGCGTAAACAAAAGTGAAAAAAACAGGTTGCTGATGGAGCTCTTGCTGGACAGTGGCTGTGATGTGAATGTGCGTACGGCTGAAGGTGAGACGGCAGCTCATATGTGTGCCGCCGATGACATGTACTTTCGCTCAATTGAATTTCTCTACCATGTGGGAGGGGATTTTTCAGCAAAGGCATTTGTTGGGGGTGCGTGGTGTACACCCATTGATGTTGCACGCGCCAACGGTGTGAGAGCGTCCTGCATTTTTAACCAGTTGAACGCCTTTTTTTCGTAGTTATTTATTTATTGTAATTATTTACTTATCTCTTTTATTTATTTATTTATTTTTGTTGGTTTTTATTTCACATGTATCTGCATCGCAGTACGCTTCTTATTCATTACAAGAAAAAAAAAAGAAAGAAAAAAAAAAACACCAAAAAAAAAAAACAGCCAAAACGACTACTGCCCAGGTTTCCATGTTTTGTTGTAATGCATTAAACCTGGTGGTTTGACATTAACAACTCTTCTGTGCCCTCCTTGCCCATTTCATACGCATATGTATGCATATGCGCATGCTTGCAATATGTGTGTTTTTGAATCCCTTTTGAGTGCTTTTTTTTTTTTTTTTATGGAAGGGAACCGATGGTTGTGCTGCGAATTATCGGGGACGAATGGTCGTGGGAAGACCGTATCGCCCTTGCGGTGCCTCCTCAAAAGATGTTTACCATGTGCATTCCGCTTTTGATATCCAAACTTGGCGTGGAAAAATGGAATGGCCTCGTGCTCTACAAGACGGAAGGAAAGCCACGTAAGTACTGCCGCGCCACGACGCCAATAGACATGTCAAGCAACCCGCAGAAGGAGCGCTTACGGGACGGAGCGGTGCTGTGGGTGCGAGTAGGCCCTTCACTCACACAGCAGGAGCGGGATCGTGTTTTTCAAAAGTCGCTGGAGGAGTGGCGTGAAAAGAACGGGTTGAAGGGGGTTTCGGTTGATGGTAGCGATGTGAGGCGTTTTGTGGAGGAATTGAATTCGCGACTGAACCGAACGGACGCTGCTCTTTTGACTAGTCAGGAGCAGGAGGCACGAACTGCAATTGAGGGGGAGGAGCATCGCCTTTTCTTCTACATGACAATGATACATCGTGAAAAGGACACGTTGCTGCGAGAAGAGACAGAACAACGGCAAAGCCTGGAAGACACGTACATTCGCGTAGCGGAACGGCATTACCACGAAAATCGGCTGCTGCTACTTCGCACGCGCTTGGTAGAATTGGGCGTGTGTGAGGAAGGAAGCCGCCTTGTCGTTCAGAAGGAGCAATGGAGGGAGTTTGAAATGCTTCAGGGGGCGTTTCAAAAGGGGCATCGGGCACTTCAAGATGCCAGGGCACGGCAACTCGCTGATTCGAAGCCAATGCTCGAGGGACAAAATGAGGGGAGGGGGAAAACGTCGAAAAATGAAGAAACCGTGGGGACGAATGCTGATGCAGCGATGTTGCTTTCCGTAGTGCGCGCGGAGCTGCAAAGGCTGTTAGAGCCTTTGGAAAAGGTCTACCATGAAAAAGTGGAAATTCTTGAGAAGCAGTGGGGGGCTACCGTCAGAGACAATGAGAATTTTCTTGCATCTTTGCGACAGTACATTATTAGTCTTTTTCGCGTTATTCGTAGCGAGTTGAGGCAATCGGATTTTTCTTTGCCTTTAGTTCCGTCGGATTCCATGGGCATAAAGGAGATTAACGAGGCTCTGAGGCAACAACAAGGCCTACTGAAGGAGTTAGTACAAGAGTACCGTGATTTAGACCGGCAGGTATCGGGTGCTCTTGGAGAGACTGCCTTGAAGACGACGCTGGACACCGTAAATGTGACTCAGCTAAACCTGTACCAATATCTAGAATCATTACGGGAACTGCTGAGTGCGACGAAATTGTTATGCTGTGGCGTGGAAGAGGCGAAAACCCAGGAAAGTGCATATCTCACGCAGGATGCGCTGGAAAAGCAGCAACAGGAAGAACCCGAGAGAAGGGCAAGTTCCTTGGAGGGCGTGGCGGTGACGGCGTTGCACACCGAGAGGATGGATGACCACAGAAATGGGGAGAAAGACCTGACTTTCAGAATTCACACGGATGTGTACAACATATTGTTGTTGTTTGTATCGCGGTACGTTGAGTTCTCTAGCTGGGGGTCATTTCAAGGGGCTGAGGGCAGCCGAGGCTTTTTGGATGATTTGCTGCTTAATTGTGGCTCTTTGCAGGTTGCTGTCGATGAACTTTCTCGGACATGCAAGGTGCTGCCCCATCCCATGCGGGAAGATATCCTCCATATGGTGGAGGCTCACGCTCCGCATTTATTTGGAGTGATAGATCTCATGCTACATCTCTATGCTGGGAGGGAGGCAGAACTTGTGCTATGGATAAGACCCGAATTGAATGATGAGGGTGGGTTCGTAGAGCACAAGACGGATGATGGCCTCACGTACTATTATCATACAGCTGCTGGGATGAGCCAGTGGGTGCGGCCGGTCACCGCATCACTCACGGAGTGAAAGAAGTTGTGAATGCGCATATATTTCTTTGAGCTAATTAAATTTGCCGGTGTTTTGGTCCGGATATCGTGGTGGAAATCTCTGTGTATATTTTCTGTAGTTGCGTTTTTGTTTTTTTTCTGCCGGGCGGGTTACAATGTAAAGGAGGCGAACGCGGAGTCACCCCGTGTTGTGTTTGATGTTTCAATTTTTTTCCTTTTTTTTTTTTCTTCTCAAATACGAACAATTAAACAACAAATTATTATTATTATTTGTAGGATAAAGGGATTTTGCATTTTTTTTTTCTTCGTGTGCGTGTTTGCTTTGAGCTCATCATTGTTAACAACATCTGCTGTTAAATCAGGGACGCAAGGGATACATGTCGGAGACAACCATTGCTTTTCGTTGTAACAGCTTTGTGCTGGTAGCAGCAGCAGGGCTGAATGCCTTCTATTACATCAAGATCATGGACACGGAGGATAAGGTCACGCAGTTGGATTCCCACAAGGTGGTGGCGTGCGCGGGCGAAAACGGCCCGCGGGTCAATTTTGTGGAGTATATCAAATGCAATATGGCCTTGAAGCGAATGCGAGAGCACGGTCGTGTTATTAGAACTTCCGCCGCGGCCTCTTTTATGCGTAATGCTCTTGCCGGTGCCCTGCGCAGTCGCGATGGGGCGTATCTTGTCAACTGCCTTCTTGCCGGCTATGACGTTGCGGCGTCTTCCGATGACGACATTGCCACGGGACCACACTTGTACTACATGGATTACCTTGGGACAATGCAGGAGGTCCCGTATGGGTGCCACGGGTACGGTGCCTCCTTTGTGATTGCAATGCTTGATCGTCTCTGGCGTCCTGATTTAACAGCGCAGGAGGCCGTGGACCTGATGCAAAAGTGCTGTGATGAAGTGAAGAAGCGTGTGGTGATCAGCAACGACAAGTTTATTTGCAAAGCTGTGACGGAAAATGGTGTGGAACTTGTAAACACCGTGAGCTAGGAAGATATATATCTAAATGTATCTCTTTATATATATACATACATCTGTATGCGTATATGTGCAGCGTGTCTTGTGACCGCAACGGGCGCAGGAGGGACTGATGCATGAAAAATTTTTTTTTTCTTTTTGTTGTTTTTTCTTTTTTTTTCTCTCGCGTTTACTCTTTCTGAAATCACTTCCGCTCCGCTCACCCTTTTGCCAGAGAGCGACTGTACGAATGGACTCCTCTGCGCCCGGAGACATTCACACACTTTTTTTTTTTTGTGTGTCCTATTTATCGATTTATTCATTTTTCCTTTTGCCTGTGTTGCTGCTTTACAACGCGAGGAAGGAGGAGAGTCATAAGTGGTCACCCCGCCCACATGTCAATTGAGCCGGACCATTGGAGCTTCTTTCAGCTCCCGCCTTTTTTTGCGCTCCAACCGGGGCCGACCGCACTTGCACGACAGACTTCCCTCTGGGGAAGTGCTATTATTGACCACGCGGCCTATCATGCGCCAAGGACGAGACCGGGTGTGTGCCCATTTCTCCGTCTCTACAAGAGCACAAGCGATGTGTTTCGCAACCCCAGTCTTAACCGGCGTCTCCCGCCGGAGGCAGCGGCACGGATGCTTGAGTCCCTCGTAGCACAACATCCGAATCATTGTGCTGTTGTGCTACCTGGCAATGAAAAGGGTGAGAACGATGACGCAGACTTTGCCGTTCTTCTTGCCTGCAATGAGAGCGGGCTGAAGGGACTGGAGCAGGCACTTCTGTCGTGGATTCTTGACCGAGGGGCTGGCACGACCACCGCACATTTGGCGCAGAAGGGTGTGGTGATGACCTTTGACGAGTTGGCCGAGAGCAACTGCCTGGCGTACCGACGGGACCGGGAGCCGTTCTTGAAACGGCTCTCAGCGGCTCCCGTGCCTGTTGGTGATGTGGGAGCACTTTCAAACGAGCAGGCCATACGCACTTTGCTCCACTCCCTCAAAAGCCGACCACTTTCAGCGCTAAGCCCAATTCACATTACGTTGTTCAACATGGACGGCAGCGACAGACGGCCATATGAGGGCGTAAAATTTGGGGGGGCCGTTGCATGTTGAGGCCATGTGGAGCGGTAGGACGAAAACGAAGAACACCCAATCCCATTTTGGTACCTGCTTGATTACATCTATATTTACGTTTGCATTTTTTTTTTTTAATTATTTGTTGGCGGAACAGTGGTTCATATGTGCAAATTTTGATTTTTTTTCTTTTTTTTTTTCCCATTCTTGTGTAATGTTGGGTTTTGTTTTGCTCCTTATATATATATGTGTGTATGTTTATATATATATATATATATATTATTTTTGCTTCATGTTTATATTTTTATTTATTTATTTTTGTTCTTCCACCAGAGTGTTGAAATCACCGCGTGGACAAGTGCTAGAGGTCCAATGACAACATCGAATGCCAAAGAAGCGGAGGGTCCTTGCAACTTCAACTACGTTAGACAATATGTCTCCACGTTGAACTACCCGCTGGAAAAGATGAGTGACATGACGGAGGAGATGCGGGCGGAGTGCAAGGAAATTGTAGTGAACGCGATTGAAAAGCATGAGGACAGCTACGAACATGCAGCCAAGCACATCAAGGAGCAGATGGATAAGAAGTACGGCACGTCGTGGCACTGTGTGATTGGAGAGGGGTTTGGTTTTGAAATCACATACGAGATGAAGCACCTCATGTACATGTTTCACAGGGGCTACATGGCGATAGTCGTCTTTAAGGGCCTTTAGCTGCCTCTTGGGTCGTATGCCCAAATGTACATACAAAGGGCGTGTGCCATTATTGCCGGTAGGGGTAAAAGGAAAGGTACTTCAGAATGTATCCCCACACGGCAAGGGGAGGATACATGCTCCAACGCAAAAGTGAAAAGAAAAGAAAAAAGGAAACATTAAGTGGGACAGTTTGTAAGAACGATGCAATGAATGGTAGTGCGAACTTTTTGCACGTCCCTCTTTTAGAACCGATGTACTTTTCCTTCCACTACGCGTGGGCTGAAACCCTTTTTTATTTTTATATATTTTTTTGTTTTTGTCATGTTCTTTT